GAAGCCTGTTAGACATTTTTCATTCAAAAAATTTTTTCATATCCTATATTTCGATGACATTGTTTCCCTTTCCCTCATTCCTCCCAGATCCTTGCCTACAACTTCAAGTTCTCCCGGGCGCGCGCCCCTCCTCTCTCTCTCTCTCTCTCTCTCTCTCTCTCTCTCTCTCTCTCTCTCTCTCTCAAAAAAAGGAAACAAACAAATAAACAAAACCCTGAAAATCAAAACAGAGAAACTAAAAAAATAAAATAAAATAAAAAAATAATGATAGCTTTTTCATCCACATGAGTGTTTATTTACGTAATTTAGATGCTGTCCTGACTATTTGATTTAGGCAGCTGACACTGTGAACTCACTAATTGTCTCACAATACCATGATTTTACTTCTTCAACTTAAGTTTTTTTCTTGGTCTGAGAAGTGATGCCCTTGGAGGTTGACTTGGGTACATCCTGATACATAAGTACACATGTCTCTAATATTGCTGGCTAAACCAAGACAGTCTCAAAGATCTTCAATACACTGAATTCTTCATTTCTCAATAAAAGAGACCTTTGGGTCCTTGGGCTCATTTGGATTTATATCCACTTAGGAAAGTCAGGAACCTTCCATAAGACTCAGAAACCTCACCTGCTCATCAATGTTCTGAGACTAGGAAACACTTAACCCAGTGCCTGCCACACAGTATCTCATCATCTTCCACTATCTCCAGTTTTTAAAATAAACTAATAATAGAAAAGTAAAAACTGAAAATCCAGGTGGTAAGAGTCTTAAGGGACTAGCCATTCAGTTAAAACATGGTGATTGGCAATAACAATGTGCCTGCATTGATTTCACAGTGATCATACATTTCAGAGGCAAAAACTAGAGGCTATATCACAGAATTTCAGTAGGTAAATTCCAGGAGTAACTTCCCCTCTCCTTGCCACACATTTCTCTCTGTATTTTGCTCACACCCCACTTTAATATGATCACAGTACATGGATAATTGGCTATACACCCACCCCACCCCTCTCTGAATTTATTCACCTTCATAGTTGTTTTGGGGCCCAGGATCTTGCAAAAGAAGCTCACAAATTAGTGGAGGTCTGGGTAGAGGCTATAGACAACCTTGACTTGTTCCTGAGTCAAGGAGCTCCATTCAGCTTGGTTTTGCTTTATCCCTGTGCACTTGGATTCACATGGGCCCTGGTCCTTTCTAAACCACATCTCCCAAATCTCCCTTGAGTTCAATGGAGCAAACTTCTGTGTTGCTTACTTTCTCTTCTTTCCTAAGTTCTTAGATTAAGAACACCTTGTTTTGCCAGATGTGATGACACATGCCTTTAATCCCAGCACCCAGGAGGCAGAGGCAGAGGCAGGCAAATCTCTGAGTTCAAGACCAGCCTCGTCACAGAGCAAGTTCCAGGATGGCCAGATCTACACAGAGAAATCCTGTCTCAAAAGCAAAACAACAACAAAAACAAAACCTTATTTCCCAGTTGTACCAGTAAAAAGTAATGGCCCATAGTCTCTCTTGCCCATGCCTCTACTTGCCTGTTAAGTAACTCCAAAATACAATGCAAACTTAACCTCCCTTACAACTTTCTTACTGGGATCTCCACACTCAAAGACTAAGATTGGACTTTATTTATATCATCATCACTGTCCTTACCCTGAGACTATGAGGAGGTTGTCCATTGCAGCAGGCTCAGCAGTGTTGTACTGGGGATTTTTATCTACACCATAACCCTAAGAAAAACTTTGGAGGGAAATGTTTTAATCTAGCCACAAAGAATTTACCAGAATGCAAAGGAGAGGTGTGATATGATGGATGGCTTCTTTGTAGATCTCTGGCCACAACCACAACACAAGTGGGGCTTCCTGTCTCCATCATTCTCCTTGTTCCTTCCCTGCCCTCTCTCTCTCTCTCTCCCCTGCCACCTGCCTCCTTCCCTTCCTCCCTTTCTCTGTCTTTCTTTAGCGATCTACTTACAACAATCCTCATACTTTTCAAGTTACATTTACCTATTTATTTTGTGTAGCTGCACAGGTGTGGTGGAACTCATGTTTGTATGCTTTGTGGGCTCACAATCTGGTGTGGAAGTTAGATGTATGCAAAAATGAACAACATACAAAATGGGTGAGAGTGGTGGTTGTGGTTGAGACAGTGTCTCAGGAATAGAGAAGAAAAGTTCCTGATGAAGATATCCGGAAGTTTCTTATGCACAGTGGTGTAGTGAAGGTATCAGAGGCAAGATGAGAGTGCTGGCTGTGGCCCACCAACCCTAACCTAGATTCATCAGCACAAAGCAGATTATAAAGTCAAAGGAACAGAATGGCCATGGATTCAGAAACCAATTGATGAGAGATATTGTGACTAACCCTCCCTTTTGCCTATAAAAAGCCCAAATTCACTGGTTTTCATCATGGGTTTTAATAGCTTTCATATTTGTTTGTTTGGTGTGGGGGGGGGTATGCATGTGAAGGTGAGAAAACTGACTCTCAGGAGTCAGTTCTCTCCTTGTAACATCCAGAGTTCAAACCCAAGCTGTCAGGTTTGTGTGCAAGTACCTCTACCTGCTGGGCCATTGCATGAGCCCCGTGTAAAACCATTTCCAGTCTTCTTTCCAAAGAGCAAGGGGACTGACCTGGGAAACTGAGATGGGCCTGAAGCGGGACCCAGACTTCACAGCTGTACTTGGGAGCTACTGTGGGTCTTATTTTTATGCCAGGGAATATACAAAAACATGGGTTTGACATGTACTCATGCCAGTACACACACTGCTGGCCTGGAGGTCTCAGTAGTCTTAGACTCCCACAGTGTCTCAAACACAGAGAGCTTTGCTGCTGTCTTAGATTTCCTTCCAATGCAACCCCAGTCCTTGGCAAACAGATGAGGAGATAGGAGCGACTAGATGGTTAACAAGGTCCCCTGACCTTCCCAGCCAGCTGTGCATACAGATCATCATTTTTGCTGTCATCCAGAATAGGGGGAAAAGGACAGATTTCAGCTATGCCATAGGGACACTACAAGTGCATCTTTTTATGGGATGTTTTATGTCTTCAGAAAGCATGGTTCCGGGGGCTGCCAAGATAGTTCAGGGGGGAAACACTTGTGCCCAAGCACTTGCCTTCTGATCTCTGTACCTGGAGCCCACATAGTGGAAGGAGAGAGCCAAATCTTGAAAGCTGTCCTCTGACCTCCATACACTTGCCAGTGGGCACACATGCACATACAAATGTATAATATCTAAAGAAAGAAGGAAAGAGAGAGAGAGAACGTGGTTCTTTCTAACACTCTCCGCTTTCTGACAGTCTTATACAGCACTCAGAACACTTAGGCATCTACCACCACTTCTAAAAAATGATATAGTGCATGAACGGTGTAGATGTTAAAAACTACCCTTTGTGCACTATACTCTAAGGGGTTCAATGACTCCACGGTCAGACAACTTGAGCAGGTGCTAAATGTACCCCCTCTGGAGCCCAGGTCCTGCTTCTGTGCAGCAATGCAGAAGGGCAGCATGAGGCATTTTTCTCTCCTTGTAAAAGAGAAAAACCAAGGATGGAGAATTATTTAAACACACCTCAATCACTCTGTAGTCACTGCATTGTTTCTCCTCTAGAAACACCCTGTTGATTTTTAAATCCCTTTAAACCTCCCTGGCACCTGTATGGCCCTGGTCCAAAAATTATTACCAAATCCCTTGCTCGTGCTTTTTATATTTAACCTCATAGGAGTCTCAGTGATTGTGCCTCCTGGTTTAGTCTAGAATGTAGGGGCCCCCAGAAGTTTCCTTCTCCCGTGGAAACTAGAATCATGTAGTGCTCAGCCATCAGTATAAAATGTATTCATCCTCATCCCCCTACCCCTCATTTTCTTAGCCAAGTATGCATGTGTGTATATGTGCGAGCGTGCACTAGATTTTAAAAGAAAAGTTGTAATCCCACAACCTTGTGCTGTTCCTGGATGACGATGTCTCTGAAATATTGATGAAAAGAGACAAAGGGAAGTGACGTGGGGAGGGTCAGGGTTAACTGCTCATAATATGTGATACAGTTTCTTTTTAGGGCAAACACTGAGGCTGCAAGCATAATGAGAACTTCCCAGAAAATTCATTATAACAAAGCATAATGCAAGCTCTCTGGGCACAAAAATAGACCCAAGGAAAGTGACTCCCACATAAGACCTAATTAAATACTTTGATGTCAGAAAGCAAAGCAAGGATTGGAAAGTCAAGTCAGACCAATGTGAAGGAAAAAAAGAACAGTTTCCCTCCCCCCATCTCTTCCCCACCCTTCTCTTCTTTTCTCCTCTTCCATGAAGGAAGAGTAAGATTCAGGAACAATGAGTAGTAAATTCTTTAGCCAATTAGCCCAGTGACTTACTACTGTTTCTAATGCACAGAATGTCACAGGCTGTTTTGCAGCCGCCCCAAGTCGGTTTGTTAATAACAGGAAGCTAGCACTTCTCAGTACAGTGGATCAAGCTACACGTGAAACATAAATGCAAAAAACCTGGAGGGGAATAGCAGCAGACCGAGAGCAGCCTTGATTTAATTTAACATTCGGGGTCCACACACATGAGCGTTTTAGTAGGCTGCATGGTGGAAGTTGCTGTCATTTGTAAAATATTCTGGCCAATTAGCTAATAGTGTGCTTGGATTTCTCCTGTTTTGATACAGTAATACTAAGTACATTGTGAAGCCCAATTATACAAATCATCCCCATATGCCGTACCAGTCTTTCTTTATGAACTGTGTTTATAAATCCTGTGTGAGGAAATGTGTACTTCAGCAATTTAGACCATGTGTAAAAACATAGCCAATGGGATTGTCAAGAAAACAAGTTCCAGCGTAGGAAATCCTAATGTGCTCGGCTGGAATAACAGGGGGGTGCCGGGAGGGCTCTGGTGCCGGAGGGAGGACGGTGGCCTGTTCGTGGACTTGTCCCTTTGCCGTGCTTAACCAATTTAGGGGCTTCCTCTTCCCCTTCTGTCGTTTCTCTTCTTGTCTTTTAGGATCCAACCTTGGAGTTTTTGAGAAAATTTGGGATTGGTTTTCTCTCGGGGACGATAGGCTCAATCTTTAACATCCCCTTTGATGTTGCCAAGAGTAGGATCCAAGGGCCCCAGCCGGTTCCTGGAGAGATCAAGTACAGAAAGTGCTTAAAAACAATGGCGACGGTCTACCAGGAAGAAGGGTAACAGATTGTTGATTCTATAAATGTGCGAGCCTCGAGGGTTGTTGAAATGGTCTTTGTCTGTCTGTCTTGATGAGAGCCAGTGGGCCTTCCTAGGCTGGGCTTATGTCTAAGGAGGTCTGTGGAATAGATGACAAGTTTTCCCCGGCCACACAGTAATGACATGTTGGCACAGTGTCCTCCCACCACCGTGACATACAGAGAGGCCCGGCTGTACAATACACTAAATGTTTGCCTGAGAATACTCAGGTAAACTCTTTACCTGCCAGTGTGTATGATGTTATTGTATGTTGTAATGTCTTATTGACATGCGGGCAGAAAACTTGTCTTCTGCCTGGAAAAGCTAACAAAAATTTTGTGTAATTATGTTCACCTAACAGATCTAATATGAACATCCTGAAAATCTGGGTTTTTGCATTTTTAAGTATTTGACTTTTTCTGATCTTTTTTCCTAAGTTTTAGTTTCTGTCTCTTCTCTCCCCTTCCCACCAATATTCTCAAGCAAACAAGTGACACGTCATTATTTCGACCTAAACTGCATGGTTTTCCTAATGTGAAGCCTGAGCTTATGGTCTTTTAAATTCGATTACAAATGTCATTTTTGCCCATATACACGGCTGCCTTGAAAGCACTGATGAAAGGCGTGTTTCTGATCGGACAGGACCAATACAGCCTGTAATAAAGAATTGATTAACTCTTTTCCTTCTTCTAATTAGCTGCAACAAATACCTAGCCAGATACTGTCAGGTTGGGGGTGGGTATCATTTCAAGTAGTTTCTTTGTAAACACTGAAGGAGCCTCTCAGTGATGCTGGGGTCTAACTACCTATTTCCAGAATAAGAGTTGTGCCCCTTTTTGTTACAGGATCTTAGCCTTATACAGAGGTCTGCTTCCCAAGGTCATGAGACTTGGACCAGGTAAGATGCTCTCACCATTTCTGTCTTCCCCCTTTATTGTCCTGGTACCTCTTATTTTGTTAGCTATGTAGGTCAGCAGCACCATAGAGATTTGCCATCTCAGGAGAGTGAAAACGTGAGGGTATAAAGTGATCAGTTCAAGAGACTGGAAGCATGCATTAGAAACACTCTACTTTTACTTATAAATACTACTTATGGCTTTTCTGGAGGCCAATGAGCACTAACACATGTCAAGAGGAAGAGCTCCACAGCCACCGAAGCCTGAGTGAGCTCCAAGGCATACACAGTGGCTCCAGGCTGAGTCAAGGATTTTGTGGAGAAACCCATCTGCTGGAACTCTCCCTTGGACTCCAGATCTTGCTCCCCTGAGCATTGAGAGTTCCCTGAACTTCATTCCCAGTCATTTCTACGGCGTGAAGCACTCACTGCCCTAGCCTCAATCACTCCATCAGTTTGGTAGGAAAGACTCTTGGCTTAGGGACAGGAGACCAAAAGAAAAAAAAAAAAAAAAAAAAAAAAAAAAAAAAAAAAGCCTGACATTCCCACAGGGAGAGTCAGCTGCCTCTATGTAAATAGATAAGAAAATAGCTGCTGAAGACTTCAACCGCCTGGGCAAATAGCCCTGGATTACAAGCCACCCTATGATTAAGTATGAACATATGCTCTAGAACACACAGAATTTTTTTTAAACCAGATCTCATGCCCCTCCTTAGACATCCTGGTAGTCCTCTCTGGAACGTTCTCTCCTCTCTTTGCCATTCCTCCTTTATTCACACAAGTGTGTTTATATTCGAATCCTAATCCAGAAGACTGGCCTGTCTCCCCACCTTAGATAAAGATCAGCAAGCTAGAGAACCATTCACACTTTTGTATATTTAAAAATCATCCCACTTTTCCCCATCTATCATCCCAACTTCTGTGGGTACTTAAGTATGGGTTGTTCTTCATATTTGAGACCTGCCTCCTGTCAATTATTGCCCCACATGTCAGAACCAACTAAGGAATAAAAAACATCGGTAATGTTGTGCATCTCTGTACTTTTCCTCCACCAAGCACTAGAGACCCGAGTGTAGACCTAGTACTAGTGAAAATCATGGGCCCAGCCCTAACCAGCTGTCTCAAAGAGTGGTGATGGAAGGAGGAACTGCAGAGAATGTAGCTAACATGGTAATTGCCTGGAACCTTGAACCTGGAACTCCTAAAAAATCTGGCCCCAAGTTCTGCTAGAGGCTTTTCAATGTTTGCTTAAGTTTTTAAATGTTTCTGCATGAGGTATCCTAAGATGCTCTGGTGTTAAATGTAATGAAAAGGGTTGTGCTACTGTCCAGCCTAAACCAGATGGTGAAGAATCAGTCACCTATGGGAATGAACACCTGGCCACTCCAGCATTTCAAATGTGTGAGTCCTAGGAACATCAAAGGGAGGACTTCAGAGGAGAAAGGCAGGGGTTTTGAGCTAAGGCCAATCATATTTAAGGGAAAAAGAAAAGAAGACACCGTAAAAGAAAACGGGGGCCAGAGGGATGACTCAGTGGGTAAAGATGCTTCCTGAGTCACATCCCCCAGGGTCAGCACAGTGCACGGAGAGAAGAAACTCCTGCAAGTTGTCCTCTGACTGCCACCCTCACCCTGGCATGTAGGCAGACACACATATGGGGTGGGGGAAGAGGAATCTAAAATAAAATTCACAAATTAAATTTACAATACATAGAGTGGGGCTGTGGTTAGTTCAGTGGTAGAACATAGAGCTAGCATTCACTAGGCCCTGACCTTTGATCCCCAGCATCACAAGTAAGGAAGGCAGGGAGGAAAGGGGAAGGGAAGGACTGGAGAGAGTGGAAGGAGGGAAGAGAGGAGGAAGGAAAGCAGGCAAGGGTGGGGACTCCCAGATGTCCCATCCTTCATTCTAGGGAAACATTTCATCTTGTATTTGGAAATGCTTTAGCAGCTCGGCATGGCTAACAATGAGGTGCAGCCTACAAGAGTCAAGTCTTTGATTTCTACGCTAGATCTCACCAGGCTGAAAACTCTGTGTGTGTGGGGGCGGGGGGTAGTTAGTGCAATGCTTTATGTTGTGAACAGTTAGTCAAAGCAAATGCAGTGATTACACACACACACACACACACACACACACACACACACACTAACAACCCTCTCTCTGTAGGGCTCCTTGTTTGTTTGTTCATTTGTTGGTATTTTTAGAATTCCAGAAGGCTTTTACCAGCTGAAAGGAGTTTAATAGAGTATCTCCATGGGTTAAAAATGAAAATTACAGTCAGATAATTATCTTTGGTTTATAGTTACACAAACATGTGCAGCCTGTTGATTTTTTTTTTTTAAATCATATGGCAGTGTGTGCAGAATAGCTAAGATCCAAATCAAGTTCCTTTTCTTTCCAAGAGAAGTCAACCTTCCACTCATGGAGCCAAGACTGTTCTAAGTCATGTTCTGAGTATTTGTCCACATTTGGGCCTTGTAACTTTTTTTTTCCACATAGGCCATTCTAAGTTACAGAACACATCCTATTTGCTACTCTAGGCCATGTTAGCTAGGAAAATGCCTATTGCCCTATGCAGGTGTCCAGCATCCTCTATGCATACTTTCCTGAATCACATTCCTTTGGTGTCTTTGACAGCAAGCCACTTCACAACCAGTGATACAACATTCTCATCTTTTAAAAAAAAAAAAAAAAGGTGGTTCCATGCCACCCAACTCTGCCTCTAAATTTTCAAGTTCAAATCTGTATATATTTGAGGCAGACATGTGGAATGATGCTTAACTTCCAACTTCCTTTTGTTAACTTTTGCAAAGCAGAGTTTTAAAATCTCCAGAAAGTAACTTCCAAACAGCACAATCCGCTTTAAAAGCCAGACTTGTCTGTCAAAGCACAGTCTTGGAGAATTCTTTCTTAAATGTAACTAAGACAATGCCAATTATGTCTGAAAAAGATAAACCTATTGCCTAGATGTGAAGAATCTGAAAGTTTTTGTTCACAGAAAAGTTACATGCCTTTACATGACTAAATATGTCTTTATTTATTTACTTTTTTAAAAAAAAGCTGAAAGTGCCTGAAAAAGAATTTGATGAGAAATGGTGAAAGTTGCAGAAACTCATAGGGGAAAAAAATGTATTTGAAAACACAAATGGTCTTGATTTTACCCTGAGAATTTTCCACAGTTGTTGTTTTCTATCTGTGCATCTGAGCTCCAGAACTGATGATTCCAAAAGCCCCAGTCTGATAAGGCCTCCCGAGCCTTGGTGGCATGGGGTGGAAGTGAGGAGCCATGTCAGTGCCCTTCCACAGAACTGTGGTGAGATGCAGCTCTCTTCTCTCCTAGGTGGTGCGGTGATGTTGCTGGTGTATGAACACGTCAACGTGTGGCTGCAGAAAAACTGGTGATGGACTAAGAAGTGTTTTCCCCTTGACCTAACAGACGTGTGATCTGCAGTCCCATGAAGAGAAGACAGCTAAGCTAGACAGACAGTGAGGAGGGAGAAGACAGCCTGTTCTGGTGTTTTGAAAAGTTTTAGACAAGTGGACATGGCACTTTGGGCAATAGGCATAGCACTGTAAGAGGAAAAGTAACATGAAGCCATGGAGGATGTAAGTTAGGTAGAAATAGGGCAGACAGAGGTCAGACACAGTTCATAAAAGCTATACAAACTGTGTGACTCACACTGCATCACAATGAAAACTCACTTCTTAATAATTTTTTCTGAGAAGTCTACAAATACTTAAAGTCTTGAAAATAAATTGTTCTGTAGCTAATTCCCTGAGAATTATTCAAAGAAAGACTGAGTTACAAGCCAAATTTTAAATGCTTTCTTATAAGGAATTACTTTTCCATAAATCATATTTTAAAAGAAAAGAAAGAAAAAAGTTAAATACACCAAAACAGCCTTTTAAGGGTGTTTAATTTTGTGAGTGCTGTGTTAAAATGTGAGTCTGCTGGTTTTCTTTAGTAATAATACACACTTAGGGTCTATTTTCCTAAATCTATTTTATATTTCGTGTGGTGGTTTAAGTGGGTTATTTTTAAATCATGCTTTTGGAAGTCTTTTATTACAAATAGAATACATAACATTATATTAATCTGATTTGCTTTTACGTAATTCATTTTGAAGACAAGTTTTATTCCTAAAATATTTTTATGTTGGGTCACAAGTTGGATGCACTCCTTGAGCCCCTCTCTGTTGCCTCCAGACACCTTTGCCCTGAGCCCTTACCTGTGCATTTTTAAAAGGATGCAGGCAAATAAGTCTGTTCTCCAGATTCTTGGGTTTAGGTGACATCTTTAAGTATAAAATCAACTGTCTAGAATATTAAAATGTCTATGATTAAGAGAAAATCTTTCAAAATGAAAATATATTCTTAGCTTTTCGAAGTATTCAGCCACTAACATGCACTCAAAAAGAAGAAAGAAAGAAAGAAAGAAAGAAAGAAAGAAAGAAAGAAAGAAAGAAAGATAGCCTTTAGGTCTTGATATAACTGAAGCTTGTTTGTAAGTCTGCATCCTCTAATGAGACCACTTCAGTAGCTAAAGTCAACAAAAAATGTCAACATGTTTTAGATGACACCTGCTCTTAACTACTAATGTGGGGCATTTCTACTATGGGGGATTCTTACCACAACATTTTGAAAATAAACAGTAAAAATGACATGGTAATTATTTGTATTTATTAATTTAGAGCATTTGAAGTATAAAAATAAAAGGCTTTTAGCATACTGTATATACATACATAGCCTTCTCTTGTACATCTTTTCCAACATGCTTTTTTTTTTCATTTGTACTTCAGCCCAATACTCAATTTGTGAGTCATTAAAAACAGAAAGCCAGGAGCAGGATGTCTTTGTGTCCTGTGCTTGCTTTCTGTCCTTGAAGGGAATACACACTGTCATCCTGTGAGAGAGGGCTGAAGGCACAGCACCAGGAGCAAAAGGGACTGTGAAGAATGCTGTGCCAGTTAGAAGTCTTTACCCTGTGAGAGTCGAGAGAGCATGAGCTTTGACCAACAGCAACAGGTTTTAAGACCAAGCAGTCCTGGCTCCACTGTTTTCCTGCTCTTAGTTTTTAAAGTGGCCTCAAATCATAAGCAGCCATGAATAGCCAACTCTATTTAGGCTTTCTGTTGTGTTAGAAATTGCTCCGTGTGGATTTACTGCTATTAATGAAAGACCTGGGAAGAGAAGTGAAAGTGGAAAAGAAAACTTTGATTCCATTAATATTAATTTTTTAAAATACAAAAAAGAAAAATATAAATAACAATAAGATTTCTTAATTTAGATAAGGAAAATAACATTATTAGTTGTATTTCCATACAAACAATTGATATTTTTCAACACCCCTAATAACCACCTAAGAACATTAGACAAAGAATAATTCTGTACCTTAAGTCAATTTTTCTGGATGGCAGGCAAGTTCCTCTATTGCATGCTTTGCAAGTCTCCACCAAAATATTGGATTAGATCTTTGTGCCATTCGGTTATAGTCTATCTTCTCACCACACTGGAAACTCCAGACGTCAACGAGGAGTTTTACAAGATCAAAGGAATACTATGGCCCTGAGAGTTCATTGGCTCCTTCTGCTTTTCTTCTCCTGAAGTTATAATCCTGTTTGTAGCAATGAATGTCGGTTGCTTTACAAAGAAGCTCTCTATAAGACATCTGCTGTTTGAAAAAAAGCAGTTCCTTGAACATTATTCTGTGTCAAAAAAATCTGCTTACAGTTTATATCCTAGGAACTCAAAAAATAGCTGACCTAGCCATCTGAGCTTTAGAAGAGGCGATGAAACCTGCATAGCAGGACTGGGTTGCTCTGTCAGCTGTGCATAGCACAATTGCAAAGAAACCAAATCTGCCAACAAACCGGCATCTTTAATATCCACTTCTAGGGAGGTACCTGTTTAGTTATTGAATGGAATTAATGCCAAGACACCCCACAGTACAGTAATATCTCAATAGATGAACTTTGCCAATGTTCTTTTAACCCTATAGGTTACTTTTAACCCTATTTAGCCAAGCAAGAGGAACCTCCTAAGCAGAAGGAATGCAAACTGTAGAATCTTGCCAAGGAAAATGGATTATTCTAAAGTAAGATATATAATCACAGGGTAACACACACATATGCATATCCCCAAAACTCTATTCATAACATTAAAGTGAAAATCAAATTGGTCTAGAAAGGTTTAGCAGTTAATCTCTGTTCTGTAATTCTGTAAATGAATAGAGGGAATTTGCTAAAAATTAAATAGCATTTGTATTTCTAATACCAACACCAATTGACCTAAATGTGAAACATGATTCGGTACACAATGTAAACTTCACAGCAAGCCATTGTTACATTCATTAGAGAAGAATTCTCCATTTCCTTTTAAGTTACAAGATAATTTGGGGCTGAGATTGCTAAACACACAGGTAAGCCAACAGTAACAGTACAATTTCATTTCACAGTGGTTTTTTTTCAATCATGTAAAGTTCATTGTAAGTGTCTCTGAAAAAAAAAAAAAAAAAAAAAAAAAAAAAAAAAAAAAAAAACCACACATTTCACATTAGACTTGTGTCTAGGTGATTTCCCTCAGAGACTTGTGGCTATAGCCTCTTGTTGCCCTATGCTTGGCATGTGTGTTGTTTGGCTGGGATACAGATAGGAAAGTGGCTTGTTTTGTCTGTGTTTTGAGTCCTCTGCTGCAGAAAGAAAGTATCCTTCGTGAGATGCTGAAGCCTTCACTGCACACACACAATTTGGAGGCAAGTCCAGGTCCAAGAGCCCAAATGACCCACCACCAAATAGAGAAAAGCATGTTGCCAGAAAGTCACCTTTGCAAAAAAAGAAAAAAAATAGAGGTGGTGGTGTTGGAGGAGGGGTATCCCATAGAATGAAGTCACAAATGCATCATCAGAGTCCATATTTACAAGCTAATAGAAATATAAACATTATTGTATTAAGAACCAAGTCAAAACACCAAAAGAAGGAAATTTTCAATATTGCTTGGGTTCTATATATATATATATATATATATTTCAACAAAATATGTCATCTCTTAAAAAATAAGCAAAAGATCACACAAGTCAATTATTGATTGGTTTCCTAATGGTGAATTAAGGCTTATCTGGTCACATTATTTGATTAAAGGGTATCTGTTTTCCTTTATTGATTTTGCAAAATATCAACAATTGCACATTTCAAAAGTTCAGGTTGATTTAGAATAAATATACATGTGTGGTTTTACCAAAGATAGGTCTTCAGAGTCCCATAAGCCCTTTGAGGGGTATAGATTTCTTCACTATGTTAAAACGGTGTGCGGGCAACACAAATGTCTCATTCAATCTTTAGAGTTGCTTTTGTTTTAAATCCTAAAGTTAAGCCAAATTTTCTGCAAAAAAAAAAAGTTACAACAAGAAATATTTAAGTGTCATCGGCACAGAGATTATGAATCCATAAAGCCAGCTCTTGAGGCAGGCGGGCTGGACCACTGCAAAGGTGGGGTGTGACGAGGGGGAGGAGGTGCTGAGGGAGGAGACCAAAGTGAAGCTGCTGGAAACAGAAGTTCCCATCAGAGTGCAGAAGCTGTGACGGAATGACTACCTTCTCTGGCTGCCTGCATTCCCTTGAAAGCCAGTGATGCGGGAATGTCACAGTTGTGGGGAGACAGTGGGGTGCTGCCGGCATGTTGCCACCCATGCCCAGCCACATAACCAGAAGGAGCAGCACTATAGGTCATGTACGGTGACACTTGAGCTGGAGTAGGGTAAGGAGCCATGCTGGATGCTGATACAAAACTGCTCACAGCTGGGAGACCATTTGGTGCCTGAAAGGAAAGACAGAAGAAACGAAGGAAAATCACATTGCAGTATTATTCAACATCTCTCCAGTCTTTAGACACATAACAGAAATTCGGAGTGAGTTCACAGTTGTGGTTCTACTCCAGGGCTGGCTTTTTTTCTCCTAGACTTCCTTTTAACCTTACTTTGACCTAAAAGTATCCAGTCTTGCTACTTAAACAAACACAGTGCTGAAAAGCAAGATACTGTTCTTTATACAAACGTTTCTGAGGAAGCTACAGCCAGAAAATCCACAATTCTTACTTTTGTGATTTGAAAGTCTATGGAGGTGAGGCAGGGCAAGAAAGAGTCAACTGTGATTAAGCGGCTCTCCACAGCCTTTGTCAACCTTCCTGGAACTTGGGTTTTGTTCAGCTCTTTTGTTGAAGCATTGTGACAGGCCTGTTCCATGTAGCTTTCATTTCCAGGAGAGAAGGGCACAAGGTGTGGGTTGTTATGTTAGAAACTCAAAATGAGCAAACCTTCTGTGAAATAAAACACGGACCATATTTGAAGAAGTCATATTGAAAATGACACTTGGAAAAAGGACGTGTAAGATTGGGGCTTTTCTAGTAAGGGTTTTTGCTGTTGATTTTCTTATTGTTGTTTGGAGTTTGTTTGCTTTCTTAATGAAGTTTGGGGGTATATTTTTTTTATAATTTTATCAGGAAGGAAATTTTCTCCACAAATATGAATGAGTAGGTGTAGCTTTGAAATGGAAATTTTGCATTTGCAAAGTTTGGGTTTTTTGTTTGTTTGTTGTTTGTTTTGCTTTTTTAAAGCCCTATGGACAAATCCCTTTAAATGAATTTAATGTGAAATCTTTGTTTGCAAACAAAATGCAATGGCTTTGGCAAGCAAGCTTGCCTAGAAACCAGTGCTTTCTTGGCATTCAATAAATCATTGTTGGTATCGTTACTATTAACAACACCAAAACACCCTGATTTCTAATCCCTCTCTGGCTTGAGTATTCCCCACCCTTCAAGTGGTTCATTTTTTCCTCCCAGTTTCTACTCTGTTTAAAGATAAAGACTAAATCTTGTTTCCTGGAAATGACACGACTGGACTAACATGTCAACATGTTTCCTAGTGAAAAAGTAATGGAAATACCAGAATTGTATAAGAAAACATAATTTAATCCCTAGAGCTCAGTAAATCAGACTCATATTAGATGCTTTGTCCAATTAAGTTAGGAAAGAAATGGTGCTTTTCTTTCGTGTACTCAGATTGAGCTTAGGACTTTGAACACACCCAGCATGCCATCCACCAAGAAGCTATATCCCTTCTCATTTAGTTCCAAATACTGTTTTCTGAATTAATTCATTTGGTCATCATTTTTACTTCCACATCTATGATAATATAATGGTGTGTGGTCTAAAGGCCTATTTTCTAAGTGTAAAAGTAATATCTATACATATCTACACACATTTGTGGTAGAATATATATGGTTGCACATTAGCATTACCCATAAAGTTCTGACAAAACCTCATCTTAAATCTTTGGTTTATAAGAATACATATATTAATGGATTTTAGACATAGAACCAAGAATTACCAACCTACAATCCACACACCAGAGATGTTAGGAAACAAAGAGAACCCTAAGAGAGACCTATATTCCTTCTCCTAGGCTAATTGGGAGCATAGAGGGAGGGGAGATAGAGTTAGGATAAAGAGAAGGGGACAAGAGGTGGCAAGAGGAGGAAGAAATAAAAGAATACATATATTCTTCTTTTTGTCATTGTATAGTTTTTTTAAAAATGGAAGAGAAAAGACAAGAAAGACCCTTGAGTACCTCTTATGTCCCAGGCACCTAGAAATTTCCAAGTTATCTTATAATATTATAAGGATTAATAAACAATAGCTCAGTCAGGCAGTGGTAGTGCACACCTTGAGTTACAGTAGTCAGGAGGCAGAGGCAAGTGAATCTGTGAGTTCAAGACTAGCCTGGTCACAGATCAAGTTCCAGGACAGCCAGGGCTACAGAGAGAAACCCTCCTCAAGAGACAAAAACAGGAAACAATAGCTCATTCTAAACTGTTCATCTTTTCACAATTACGAGAATATATATATATTCTTGTATATATATATATATATATATATATATATGTATATACATATATATATATATAATGTTATGTTCAATTGGAATTTAATATATATATATATATATATATATATATATATATACATATATATATATAATGTTATGTTCAATTTGTTTTGTTTGGGGGTTTGGGGTTTTTGTTTGGGTTTTTGTTTGTTTTTGTTTTTATTCATTTGTTTGGGGGAAGTTTGCGTTTTGTTTTTGTTTGTTTGTTTGTTTGTTTTTGAGACATGGTTTCACTATGTATCTCTGATTGTCCTGGAACTCACTATGTAGATCAGGTTTGCCTCAAAACCACAGTGATGCACCTGCCTCTATCTCCCAAATTCTGGAATTAAAGGCATGCACCACTCTGCCCACCTTTTGTTTTTGTTTTTAAATAGGGTCTCACTATGTTCCCAGGCTGGCCTGAAACTCATGTCCTTCTTGTCTTAGCCTTCCAACCAGAGATCACAGTTATACACTACTATACCCAGATGAAATTAAGATGTACTTCAAAGGGCCTCCCAATTGATGTCCTTTTAAGTAAAGCTCAGAACAATTATCAAAGGAATGACTTCATTTTGTTGTTCAACAAAACTGAAATTCTATCTTTTTTTATTTGTGTATTGGGGGATGGTTTCAAGACAGGGTTTCTCTGTGTAACAGTTTTGGCTGTCTTGGAACTCACTTTGTAGACCAGGCTGGCCTTGAACTCACAGAGATCTGCCTGCCTCTGCCTCCTGAGAGCTGGGATTAAAGGCATGCACCACCACTGCCTGGCCTATCTTCTCTTTATGCACAAAGCCATTTAGAAAGTTGGGAAATGACCACACATTTAAAGACCATCACACACATCCTGCCTGATGCTGCAGGGTCTTCTGTAGTCTGCTGTGATATTTTTCCTAGACAGTCAGAAGGAGGTATAATTTAACCTCAAACTACAGCACTAGTAAAAGATTCTTCCTTCTCCTAGAACTCAATTCTCTTCACTAGATTTTTTCTCTTCTGATAAAACAAAACAAAACAAACAAAAATGTATGTCTCCTTTTTTAAGAATAACTAATTATGTCTCAAAAGAACTTACTTTAGAGTTCTTGGCTAACGAAAATCTATGTAACCATCAAATTACAGGGGAGGGTGGGGAAGTCTAGCATTGCAGAGATTATTGCTTTAATTGCTTTTATTCACTATTTATTTTATTTTCCCCAATATTTGTTAAAATTAGTTTGAAATGTAATCATTCCAGTAGAATTATGGAATGGTGTCCACATCTGTTTTGCCCCTATCTACCATTAATTAGTATTTAATACTACTAATACCAATGTATTAGTAAATACAGAAAAATAGAGTAAGAATATTATGGGATGGTAGTATAGCTCAGTGGTAGGATACATTCTTAGCTTAGTGTGCATACAACCCTGGGTTCAATCTCCAACACAGGAGGAAAATATTAAAATTAGCTCTAAAATAATAGAAAACTTGACTCTACATTTTCTAAGTGCCTGATGTCAAAAGATTTAATGTGTGTGCCAAAATAATGTTCTACCTGGGAGAAAATATCTGTTGTTGAATTCCATTTTCAATCACTGCTAGATGTTTCCTAACTGTGCTTTTGGTGGAATGCTGGGGGTGTGATTCACTATGTACCCCTCGTTCTCAATGCAGCATAAGCTATTCTGTTGTATCTGAAATCAGCTTACATGGTCCCATTCATTACCCCTCCCCTTAAATATGACCCAGAAAGACTGCGTCAGACTCTCACCTCATTTAATGCTCTCTTCGTGGGGAGGCAAAGCCTTGGGCTTTAACCTTGCTCTCGTGTACTTTATTTACTCCATAACTATATCCATTTATCAAACATAGCATATCCTATTAATTTTTCCATATTTACCCAACTTCTCATACCTAAACTACCAAACTTGCTTGTTATCATCTGTGGTAATACTGAGTATTTCAAGGTTCTGAAAACGCCATGGTATTTGCTGGTTGTCAGTTTGGTGGTTCAATCCCCTCTTTGTTGCAGAAAAAAACCAAGAGGGAGCAACAGGTTGAGAGAGGTAGCTTCATCATATATATACAAAGGGAAGCAACTGGTCGCTTAAAGAGAGAGAAATGGTAGAATTCCTCAGCCTTAGCATAGTAACTCTCAGTTTATCCCTGTGTTTATGACTTGACCAGGACAAGCGGGAGTTTCATTCTGCTGTTAGGAGTTCAGATTTCAAAATAGGGGTGGGGTGGGGGACTAAGCAAGAAAAAACAAAAGTGCTTCAAAATGCCCTTGCCCCAGCCACCTTCACTGTTCATTCATTCCAGTGACTCAATAAATACCAATTTTCTCACTATTAATTTTGAAACATGACATTAGCAAAAGTAATAAATCTCTACTGGGTAAAGTGGTCATTATTCATGAAGAAATCACTTAAAGGGTAAAATTTTCCACAGCAAAGGAAAACAAGCACAGGTATCACTGGTTTGTTTATGCTCTCCAATAAAGGAGTAAACTTCAACGCCCCAAATCTGCTTAATGTTTTCAGTGAAGGGCATGTAATTAATCTGAAAAGCTAATTAGGCTGAGTAGAGACTACCAAATGTACACCATAAATATAGTAGGAGCAAACATGTTAAATTACACTATTTAATTGGATTGTAAATATGATTTATAAATCAACCAACATACGGAATCCCAAGGGAAAAGTAAACAAATTTGTCAAATGAAACCCTGCAACAGGAATGTAATAGCAATCCCGTCTTTGAAAATGACTTTGCCTAAATATTTTATAAATAAGACTTCAACCCTTCAGCCCTTCACAAAGATCTTCCAAGAAAGCAATAAGAATTAAGAATTCTTTTCCCTGAAAGAATGCTGTACCTTTCCTCCTCACAACCAGCTGCTACCTTCTACTTAATTTTAGAAATGAGATTTACTGATACAAAGCAAAACAAGCCAATTGCATACCCTGGAAAGAGTTAGTTGTCTTTGTTGAGTTGTCTCAGGAAAAAAAAGACAGCTTTTATCTCGTGAACACTAGAAGATATCTTCTAGAGGAATACTGGTGGTGTAATATAGTTTGAGTCAGGTGGCCACATGGCTGTGTTGGCAGGTTATTAGAGGACAGGGACCTGCATTAATCACCTTGTATCCTCACAAAAATGGAACATAACAGGCATTTCATAAATGACTTACTGAATGAAGACTTGTGATCGAAAAAGATACGATTCTCCTGTTGTAAGAACAAAACAAAGAGCTAGCCCCCACCCCCTTTATAACAGAACAAGTATTTACTTCAAGCAAGCCAAATGAGTAAAACTGTTGGCAAAAGTAAACAAAAGTTCCAACCAGCCATTTCACTATTTGATTTATGGTTGTTCCTTGTATTCCTCCCCCTCTAAGAAAATGGAAATGCATTAGTATTCTGCCACTTGTGACCATGAAAAAAAAAAAAAAAAAAAAACTGGTATGACAACTGTCTGGAAATTACAAGTTAAAGACTATTTTTCAAATTCTGGGAATTGTCTACTCAACAGTTTCTCTCTTGAAAAAAATGCAAATAACAGTCTAGTGCCAGCTTCTCTGTTAACAATCTGTCTATCAGCCACTCCTCCAATCTACTTGGCCTTTCCTTTCTAATAACACGAGTTCACTCTGGCTTCATGATAAAATATATTTGGCCATAAAAACAGTTGTGCCTCACATATATTTACAGTATCAGTTTCATAGACAAAAACAAATTCACATCTGAAAATAAGTAGGTATTTTTGAGAAATTATTCTCTGAAATTGTCTTTCTAACTACTGTTCTTCCCTTCTTTATTGTGTAACGACTTAGTAAAACAAACCTGACTAAATGAAATGACAGCCATAAAGATGGCTCAACATTCATCCAAGAGAATTACTTTTAGTTACACCATTATAGATCGAAATGTCTCTAGGTAATGGGAAGCTAGTATGGTATTTAGTGTTTTCTAAATTTTGTTTCTAAAATGTTATCAAAATTGATATAGCCTTACACTGATTTATTTAATTTTATTTTGTATTCTCTTGTCATACAACAATAATTATATGTATTTATCGGGTACGGTATGATGCTTCAATACATGTATACATTGTACAATGATCAAATCATTTAGCATGTCAGTCATCTCAGATAACATAAGATCATAAAAAACATTCAGAACCCTTTCATCTAGTGATCTGGATTTTACAGTCTTTAAACTATCTTTTGTTGCTATTTCACATGACACATTTTACTGACATACAATTATTTAGTTTGTCATAAATATGATGAATTTCAAAGACTATTGGAATTTGTCTAAAATGTCATTCTCTATAAAATTATAAATTAATTTCACAAAAACTTAACTTTATTTACTGTGAAGAAAATTCAGTGCAACTTCATTTCTGTCTTCATGAAAATATTATGTTCAGGAACACAAGTTCTAAATTTTTTGAACTTACTTGTTTTTTGATTATCAAAGTTTTTAAAATATTTCACTAGGAAATTGTATACAAGATGATTCATTTTTATCATCATTTAAAGTAATGTGCAAATGAATACTTTGTGAGAATTTAGATTAAGCTACATTTTTAATCCCAGCTTTTTTCACAATTCATTTAATTCTGAACATCTTAGTGCAATTATTTATGACTATTCTTTATTTCTGACATCTCAATTGCTAAAGAATGTCATATTAAACTTCTTGCTCCATTAACATATTCAACCTCAAAATGAAAGTCCTGGGAACCTGTAAAGCCATCATTCATATTACTCTAGAGTAGCAGGTAAGTGATATGTTTGTTCTGAGGAAACATGCCTATTTGGAGATAACTTTTCAAAAACTATGCATTTATTTATGAACTGTGTAAATAAAATCAATTAACTTTCCAAATTACAGATATAGCCCAACACCTATGTTTATCTAATCATGTTTTTTTTCACTTGATAACATTAAGTCAAGATTTTTTTGCCTTCAACAGAAGAAAATCAAATAGAAAACATTGTTTCCTTTCACAAGTAGATGAGAGTAAGGATTTCCTGCCCAATAGTAAGTGTGGTTGAAAAAAATCTAAGATAAATAAATATTCTATCCTAGTCAACAAAGACTTCTGAATGGGATTCCAATATGAATTACAGCTTGAATGTGCAAGATGAATTTGGATATTCTAAACTAATTTTCAAACACAGTGAATAGGTACGGGTATGACTGAAATGTGCACACAGTTCTAATTCCTGGTGATCAGTCATCTTTGAAGTCTGACCTGAAAATAGGAACTCTAGATCATGGTAGCCCATAGACTCAGTACTCAGTTGCCGGCTTGTTCTGTGGTCATTTTACAGGTGTCTTCCAAGAAAATATACCCTGAGCTCTGAGTCTGTTCTCTCAATCCCCCACTGAGTGCACCAAAAGGAAACTAGCTTTTAAGAATAGCACGGTAGTTAATTATAACTGTGAACACCCAAATATATTGCAGGTGATTTTTTTTCAGCTTTCCTTTGTTAAGGGCTTTTAAGTTTTGTTGGCCAGAGGGGCAATGGGTACCTGAGTTAACCTTTTTATCCGAATATGCTAACAATACTTTGTAGGGGCAGTGGCAACTTGTAAAATTAAAGTTAGCTTTAAAAATATTGCAAGAGAAATACACACACACACATGCAACTCCTATTCTTATGAGCTTATTGTAATATTACATCAAGAAATCAGTGTCTAAAGTGAAGTGTTTGCCTCCTTAACCTATCTTCAGCCTTTATCATAATGTTGTACACACTGGTTTAGGTTGTGCTTAGAAACTCTTGCAGTTTTATGATTGTGTAACATTTGAATTATCTCCTGACATGGCAGTATGGGGCAACATCTCAATTCAGAGCTCTTCAAATATAAATTTGATGGAAATATCCTTTGATTTGGTGGCCTGTTCTCTTAAGCATTATAACATTTAGAACAGCATCTATTTGGCCACTTTTTCCTTAAATTACTTGCTTTTATAAAATGTAATTCAGTCATCTAAAATTCTTTGTAAATGATTTTTTAAGGAAACAGCAAATTACTCGAATGCTATTTATTTTAAATAAACTGTCAGTTTAGTTTTAAAGCATATGATAAATTAGCCATTTCTAAACAAGTTTCACTGACAGATACATCATTCAAGGGAGGAGAAAATGAAAGTAGCTATGAAGCTATGAAGGTTTTTGGATGAGGAAACCGCTTTTTTTTTTTTTTAAGCTGGTTCATTGACTGCCTGTGGGAATTGGAGCTTTTTCTGAACTCCAGTCTTCACAGTGTGATTCCCCAAAACAATGAGCAACAGAAGGCACTGAGCCCCTGTTAAAGTTAAATGCTCCCTACTGTTCTTGATGCTTTGTGTACACTTCCTATTGTTTGTCACAAATGCTTGGAGGAATGTTTCTTACTATAGATTTTCTAAACAATGCCTATTATGAATGTCACTTGTTTTTAAAAGTCAATCTCTAACTGCCATTTGGAACCACAGGGGATATTTAATGAATGTTTCCTAAGGGCCCTATCGATGTACTGACTTTGGGACTATTATTTTCTTATCTCGAAACTGAGGCTCTAAATGAGCTAACAGCTTGCTTCAGAAGCAGCAGTACCAAAGCGCCAGGCGTCTAACCACTGCGCACCACCGCCTCTCTGTGAGCAGATTGTTACAGGCAGGTCTTTGCAAAGAAAATGGTGAGTTTGCTTACGATACCTCATGGGCATTCTTTACAGTGGAACCAGACTAAGAAAGCGGCTCTCTTTCCTTGCTGTTTTTGGTGTTATTTGCCAGGGAATAGCTAGCTACTAATGCATCCTGACAATACTTGAGAGGGACTAGGAAATAGAAATGTAATTTGTTAGAGAAAATGATGGTTGGGATGTCCCCCAATGGATAAGGATAATAAGTTCCAATAAATATTGTAACTGATTTTGACAAGAAATAAAAAGTTTTGAGGCTTTAAGATAACACTAAGTACTTTGAAGCTTCCAAGGTGGAGTCTACTCCGTAAATGCCTTACACTGCCTTAAGTCCGCATTTGAGTTTTGAAATCTTCATTCTAGCATACTGATATATTTGGACTCACGGTTTTGTGTGGCGGCTGCTTAGTTCTTCTCAACGGGGAAAAAAGAAAAGGAAGCACGAGTGTTTTAAATTTTCCTTCAGAGAGTAGAGGGAGGGCCAGAGGGAGGGAAAGGAAAATTAAACGGTCCACAGCCAGTCCGTATAATTTGAGGTTTTCTCACTAACCTCCCTTGGGAAATTATGATGTGACCTTTAATCGGGAAATGGTAAGTTTATTACATTTATCTGGCTGCACCTCTTCCATTATCGCCGGACAAGCTGGTCTCTGGAAGTCCAGGCAGGGGAACTGTCTTTGCACGGGGCCCGCAGCCGCCCACAAGCCTTGCGACTCCAGCTGGCGGTGTCCAGGCTGCAGCCCGCTGGCAGGGCGCTGCTCTAAAGCCCAAAGCCCGGCCACTCCGAAGCTCGGCCTTGGGTTAACTGAGATCGGCTAGGTGTAGTGAAAGGGCTGGGGGCCAAACGTGCAGCGGGATGTTAGACTTCTACTCAAACTTCAGCCCAGACTTAGTCAACCTGGGACCCATCTCCTGGCACCAGTGGACATTTCTCTCCGTCGAGGCTCTGAAAGGCTCTGCGTCCTCCATCTCCCAATCCCCCGCACCAGGAGGCCTGCCTGGCCAAGCCCTCTCCTCCTCACCTGGCCGTACTTGGCCTCCTGCTCCAAGGCCCCCTTCTCCAGTCCGTTCACTGCGTGCGGGGCGGCGGCCGGGAAGTTGTTGCGGCCCAAGCTGCTCCACTCCTCCACCTTGGGGCTGTGGTAGGGGGAGCTATCGCTCACTCCTAGGAAGGTGGAAGAGAGTTGTCAGGCTCAACCCGCGCCCCCCTCTTGAGACAAGACCCGAATCCCTAACCACAAAGCTTCAGGGCTAAGACCTTGGGTCAACTCCTTGCACTAGGCTTCCTACCGGCGCTGGGCCCAAGGGTAGACCTCTCGGTTTTCAGCTTAGGGCCTGGAGAAGTTTTAATGGCCTGAAAGTAGGCCTGTGAGTTAAGTTTCACCCACGCCTGACGGAATTTTGTTTTGCTTTGTTTTGTTTTATTTTTTTTAAACCAGCGTTAGATTTCCTTTCTCCCTTCTTGATCTCTCAGGGAATGGGTTGAAAGAGACGAATATTTTTCCAAATGGAAGAAAGAACCCAGAGTTGTGAAGTTGGATATTAATTCATCACCCCTGTCCTTACTGGAGGAGAGTGGCAAAGACCTGCCATTGGGGAGGGAAGACTGATGCGGGAGAGAGGAGTAGTGGCCTAAGTGTGTCTTGCTCAAAGACAGCCTGAAAAATGCTCACCGCACTGTGGGGATCTGATAGTTCTGTCAACACGACAGAACAAAAGACCTGCAAAGTCCTTTGCAAACAAATAACTAAATGACGCCCACAATGCGCATGCAAAATATCCATGCACAGATCTCCACGTTGTGTGTATATGGGACCCCCCTACGTTCTCTGCCTGCTAAATGAGTAAGTCTATATGCATATTTTTAATTAAACACCGTGAATGTTAATGGGTCAGCTAAAGAAAGGTGTTTTTAGGGACTTACATGTGAAACAAGCTTGTTCCCTGACTAGAACTAATAAATAAATAAATAAGAAAGGTGTTTTTAAGTATCAGAAAGAGAAGATGAAAGTAAAATTCAATTTAAGAAAAGGGATGAAACCATGTGCCTATTTTTCTGTTCTCAAGGGAGATACAAACAACAAAAACTTCTAGAGTAAGGTGATTGTCACAGTATCTACAGTCATGCATACTGAAGAAAAGTATTTGAAGACTACATGTATATATTTTGCTCCTTGGTCCTGTGTATAGAGTTTCAGGGTGTCGTTTAAACTTGATTTTAAACACTTCTATCTGGTATAGGTCCTTCAAAGAGTGGCCATCCAGGGAAGTTACCTTGTTATATGCACAGATTTTGTCGGAAACCTGGTTGTCTAAAGGTGACATCGAAAATAAACAACAGTGTCTACAAGGAACCGTCACTCCCTCCCATAATCCCATGCTTTCCTACCTGACATCTGGTCTGATTGCAGGGTTCCCCAGAGAAGAAAAGTTTTCTTTTCAACTGTCAGCCTATTTTCACCATGCCTCCCCTCCAAACAAGTAGATTGCCAGGCTCATTTTTGCAGCAGGAAGCCATGGCTGGTTCAGGCCTGATGGCCTTTGCCTTCCCAGACAAAAGGCAGTCGGTGGGCACAAGCCTGAAGTTATCTTAAGAAACTGAGATCCCCCTGTGAGCCCCATTTCTGCTGATCTCACACGTTCCCACGGACAGGGCCTTCCTTAAATGTCAGTGAGGTCAGTTTATCCTATAAATCAAGGGCAGCATCTCCACCTAAGGCTCCAACTAGTTCCAAATAACTCAGAACTTTACTCTTGTCAATTCCCAATCAGAAAACACGGAGATGAGAAATCAAGCACTGCTTTAATTACTTTAAAAGGTCATTGTGCGGATGCCGTGGAAAGTCAAAAACCAAGAAATGGTTACAGGAAATATTTTTCCTCTTTCCTATTTAAATTTTTCCTCTGCCCGTCTTAAACCTTACACTGAAAAACTGGGCAGTAAATTGAGTGAATAAAACATTTTAAATTTCTTTTTGTTCTCCTTACACCAAGAAAGAAGCTAATGTCTTTTAGATTTTATTTTTAACAGCACAATAAAAGAAAACAAACTCAAGCTTCCCGGAGAAGTCGGATCGTAGGGTGCGGGGGTGCCGGGGGATTTTTCTGAGCAGTCAGAAAAGACACCCAGGACAGC